TAGGATAAAATTCACTGTTCTTGCCATGGTCTACTAACCCTGCATGGACTGGCCCTTGCTTCCCATCCTGATGGCATCCACTACCTATTCTTCCCTTCATTTCTCTCACTCCAATCATAGATGCCTCTTTATTATTCAAACAACTTGAATCCATCCAAGTATCAGTGCCTGTCCACTTTTTGTTTTCTCTTCTCTGAATTCTCTTCCTCAGATATCTGTATGCTCACTCCTTTGCTTTATCTAGTTCTCTTCCCAATGTCACTTGTTCAGAAAGGGCTTCCTTGAGCACCATGTGAAAATTGGCACCAGCACCATCACTTGCTTTTTCTTTCCTCTGTTTTATTATTGTTTAGACTATGTCTGACTATTTGATATTGAATGATCAATATTTAACTTATTTATTGTCTTTGTTTATCCATTGATGGTAAATTCCATTATGGCACTGTCTGTCTAATATACAAATATTTCTCACAAGCTAGAATAATGCCAGGTACACAGGTGATCCTGTAAAAGATTTTTAGTGAATAAATTAATTTCTTAATTAATCCAAAGGACCCACATTTTTTAACAATAAAATTGAGCACTGAATTAATGAGGATTTCTATCTTAAAAATTCTAGGATTTTTAGGAATTTATATCCTGTAAAACAGTAGAAATACACATAATTCTAAGATAATGGAAAAAAATTAGAAATGTTTTGATAATGTGCTTCTTTTCTGATCTGCATTTCACCTTTCTGGGGAATAAAGCAATAAGCCTCACTAACATTTCCACTCTAAATCAAACCTGTACTTGTTCCAGTCTTGAGATGAAATGTCTGTAATGTCTTTGTCTGACATTCCCTATCCAAGGAGCCATTGACCATATGTTTAAGAGAGAGATGAATCTTCAGCTGTTCAACTTTCTCCTAACAGTAGCTCATTTTGTTTTCTATCTCTTTGTCCTGACTTGTTTATTCTGAATGTGTGTGTATGTGTCAAGAGTGGAGAGGGAGTGATGCTATAGTAAATGGGAATCTGGAAGAAGTCCTGGTTTTATCACTTGCCAAATGGAAATGGGTGCGAACTCATTCCATCAAGTGGAATCCATGCTGGGCAGCGAGCCTCTTGAAGACAGAGAGATATCTGGGGAATAATGGCTGCCTAAGGACTGTGTTTTAAAACTAATATCTAAAAGACTTAGTATAGAGCTGGTTAATCGAATGGCAAATACACAGGGCAGAAGTAAATACCCTTATTTCATTATCTTGCTTTCCAGGGTATTTCATTTTTTAAGAAGTGGCTTTGATGTATTTTTTAACTACTTGGAAGAAATCCATTTCAAACTGTGTTTAGAAGCTAAATAAATAAAACAATCCCTAGAACTGAGATGCAGAGGGCATTTTACTTCATGAATTAAAGTGAAATTAAGAGTCTTAAGTGACTCATGGTGCTGACCACATACTTCTGTGTGAGTACTAATTTTAATAAATCACAGTTCCTGAATGACATTTTCCTCCTCATCAGTCACTGAGTGGGTATTTAGTGCAAAGTATAAATTATTTGAGTTTAATCTTCTGAAAACTGCTGTACACTTTGCAGGTACATATATGGTTTTATTCTTGTTTGTATTAGGGACCATCATATGAGGTAGATAAGTTTTGGTTTGCTAGATGTGCCTTTCAGATATATATTGCCTGTGAAATAGGTTCTACTTATTAGATGCCAAAACCCTACTATGAGAAAATATTCTGCATATGAAAAAGAGTTGGTCCTGCTCTTAAAATTCCTCTGTGGGGTGACTGTCCCATGAAAAAAAGTTTTTAGTTTATAATTATGGTGTGAAATTGGACTTCCTCTGGGCAAACTTCTTTCTGTTGTGCTTGAGAGTATTCCAGTAAAAAGGAGAAACATGGTGTTCCCAGTGTTTCTAGTCAAGAGTAGGCCTTGGACAACCGTAGTTCCCACTTGCCATCTCTCTCTACTCTAGAAGTCTCCCAGAAAGAGACATAGAGACTTTAAGTCATCTATAACTGCTTCTTATTAAGGATGATGGGTATGCTAACAGTACATTCATTATTTATAATAAGTGATATCCGATAAGGCTACCTGGCAGATTCCTAGTTTTTCTCAGCAGAATATTTGACTATGTGAACAGATCATATCACAGAGGTTAGAATGTGGAAAGTGCTTGTTGGGAGGAAACTGGACTGGGAAGCTTCCAGGAATCAACGGGGTCTGGGGTCTGCTTTTCTCTCTACCCCTCAAGAACGATTTGAATTTGCTCATAGGATCTGTCGTCTCCCCACATACACTCCCTTCTTCTCTACCAATTCTACTTATTTGGAAGATCTGCTTCTCTTTGTCACAGAAATGCACATGAATCACCTTGACTGTCTCAGAGTCACTGTACTAAAACTTTGTAGTTTCTGCTCCTTTGGCTAACTCACTCTTTGTTTGTTTGTTTGGGTTTTCTAGTTCAGATCACTCAGAAAGAAAATTTGATTGGCTGAGCCAAACATTTTCTTTCCTTTTGTTTTTCAACAAAGCTTTATAAATATATTATTTACATAACATTAGATTCACTCATTTTAAGCATACAAGTAATAATTTTTGGTAAATTTTGAGTTGTGCAGCCCCCACCATAATCCAATTTCATAGCATTTTCACCAACACAGGACACTCCCTCGAGCCCATTTGCAGCCAATCCCCATTCCCACCTCCAGCTGCAGCTGCTTTCTGTCCTATAAAAGTGTCTTTTCTGTATATTTAATATAAAAACAATTATACTATATGTCATTGAGCATAATGTTTTTGAAGTTTACCCTTGATTACTACAGCTTTAGAGTAAGCTTTGAAATTGGGTTGTGTAAGTCCTTCAATTTTTTTCTCTTTTCCAAAAGTGTTTTAGCTATTCTAGGTCCATATTGTTTTATCATTTCTGTATAAATTTTAGGATCAGCTCATCAATTTGTAAAAAAAAAAACAAAACAGAAAACATGGTGAGATCCTGATAAGAACTGCATTGAATGTATTAGTCAATTATTGACCAACTTGGAGAGAATTTTCATTAATATATGGAATTTTCCAATCCATGAACATGTAATGTCTCTTTATTTAATTTCTCACCGAGATATTTTATAGTTTAATATATAAATCTTGCACTTCTATTGTTAAATTTATTTCTAAATATTTTATACTTTTTTAAGGTGTTGTTAATGGAATTTTTCTTAATTTTATTTGGACTGCCATTGCTAACATGCAGAAATATGATTTATTGTTGCATATATATTTTTTTGAGACAGAATCTCACTCTGTTGCTGGGGCTACAGTGCCATGGCATCAGCCTCACTCACAGCAACCTCCAACTCCTGGGCTCAAGCGATCCTTCTGCCTCAGCCTCCCGAGTAGCTGGGACTACAGTCATGCACCACCATATTTTTAGTTGTCCCGCTAATTTCTATCTATTTTTTTAGTAGAGTTTGGGTCTCACTCTTGCTCGGGCTGGTGTTGAACTCCTGACCTCAAACATTCTGCCCGCCTCGGCCTCCCAGAGTGCCAGGGTTACAGGCATGAGCCACCGTGCCCGGCCTATTGTTGTACATCTTGTATCCTGTGATACAAACTACTCTTTATTGCTTTAGTGGTTTTATTGTGAGTTGCTAATAAAAACTGTTATATTTGTTCCTTTCCAGTCTAGATGGAGCTATCTATTATCCATTGCCAAATGTACTGTCTGGAACCTCTGGCTACAATGCTGACTAGAAGTGATGAGAATGGAAATCATTGCTGTGTTTCAGATCGTAAGGGGAAAATATTACCTTTTATTTTTAGGTGTGATGTTAGCCTTAGGGTTTTGTAGATGTCCTTAATCAGGTTAAGGAAGTTTCATTTTATTGCTGGTTCATTGAGAGTTTTTCATGAGCGGATGTAAGATTTTGTCAAATGCTGTTTATGAATGTACTTATTCTACTATTATGGTGTATTATGTTATTTGATTTTTATGTGTTAAACCAACCTTGCATTTGGGGAACAAACTCACTTGTTCATATTTTATTCCTTTTTATGTGCTATTGAATTTTTTTGATAATATGTTATTAAGGACATTGCATCTATGTTACGAGGGAATGCTCTGTAGTTTCTACTGCTTTTTCTCTTCATTCCTTTCTAGCTTTGGCATCTGGTATTACTACCCCAGAGAATCACTGTGCAGTGTTCCCTCCACTTCTACTTTATGAAAGAGTTTGGGAAGAATTGGCATTGTTTCTTTTTTTTTTTTTTTTTGAGACAGTCTCACTTTGTTGCCCAGGCTAGAGTGAGTGCCGTGGCGTCAGCCTAGCTCACAGCAACCTTAAACTCCTGGACTCAAGCAATGCTCCTGCCTCAGCCTCCCGAGTAGCTGGGACTACAGGGATGCGCCAGCATGCCCAGCTAATTTTTTTCTGTATATATTAGTTGGCCAATTAATTTCTTTCTATTTGTAGTAGAGACGGTGTCTCGCTCTTACTCAGGTTGGTTTGATCCACCCGCCTCGGCCTCCCAGAGAGCTAGGATTACAGGCGTGAGCCACCACGCCTGGCCTGGCATTGTTTCTTTTGAAAATATTTTGTAGAATTCACAATTAAAATGGCTTGGAATTTTCTTCATACAATATTCAAATTTTTATTTCAATTTTTCTAATTATTATAGATCTTTTCAGACTTCTATATTTTCATGAGTCAAATTTGCAATGTATTTCTTTCTAAAAATTTTCCTATTTCATCAAAGGTGTCTAATTTGTTGGTTGAGCTGCCCTTTTTGTGCCAAGTAATAACATAGATTACTGCCCAGCCTTGGTGGCCGTAGTGGGACAGAGTATAACTGTAAAAAACAAGGTTGCCAAAGCGTTGTCCTATTTGGTACAGACGGAGAGAGAAAATAAGTGGGGCATGATTCGTTGGCAATCGTGAGCTGAAAAGCCTTCTGAGGTTAGTCCTAGCCAACACACTAGTGTGACACATCAGCACAAGTCCCCATACTTACTCTCGTGTTGGAAACTTTGTGACGTTGAGGCAGCAGTAGCGTGTGGAGGATTTGGCACTGCTGTATTTGTGGTGGTGGGCTCATTCTTCAAGACACCATTGGCTGTGGCCCCTAATTCGGTAAGGAGAACAAGCAGCCATCAGGGTACAACAAATCACCAGTCTCATTAATATTCATATTAACATCCAATTACAACTTGAAGATTAATTGCTGAAAGTCTTCTGACCAAGATTTAGAAAGCTAGCATTTTAATATTTGCCTTTTGGTGATACAGTTAATTACTATAAAGAAACTGGAGGTATGTTAGACTGTCCTAGGTACCTGCTATAGGCAATCTCATTTGATCATTACAACAATCTTATGAATTAAGTCATCATTATGACCATAACTCTATGTGGACTCAGAGAAATAATTTCCCATCAGTCATATAAATTGTAATAGGAGAGAGCCATGACCTAAATCCAAGCCTTCCTGAGGCAAAAGCTAATCACTCAGTTACTCTGGGACGAGGAGGGCAGAGCAGTGGCAGTAGTTAATACGGCACCATGGTTCTCATGCTGCCCGGGACGGAGGGGATTTTCAGGCAGGTGGAATAGCCAGGGGAGAAGGGATAACAGGAAGAAAATAGAATTCACTTTGAATTATGCTTAGTTAATTTTTTTGAAGAAAGAAAAAGAAAAATTAACAGCAAAGAAAACATAAGCTGAGCATTTCAAAAATAAGATTGATATAAGATGACTTGAAATAATCTATATTTGCACAAATATTATACAAGCAAAATGAAAAGCTCTTCAGACTTTTCAAAGTCCAGCATGGGGAACTAGCAAAGGAAAGGCAGCCACACCATTTGGTTCGTGCTTGGTGTTAGCTAGACACGATGTTAGCCGGAGATGGGGGGAGGCGGCTTAGTAGATTCCTATCACAGAGCAGGATAGAGCAAGAATTGCTGGAACCTTCCTGAAGTGCCAGTCAGCTTCCACTCTATGGCAACAAGCATCTACTCTGTAATGCAAATTCTTGGTGCAGTTGAGGGGTTCATGCTGGAGACACTGATAGTTTGCAAAATATCTCATAGACAGCAAGCAGATAACTATGTCTTCCTTCAGGTAAAAACTCTTTAGGAATTGGGATGCAAATAGAAGGGAAATAAATTTAAATATAGACTACAGTGCTAACCTTGCTTATGAAAAATAATGAGTGGAAATAGCTACAAACTTGAGACATCTTGAAGTATTAAATTGAAAGGGAAACACTTGAGCAAGTAGAGGCATGTCTTATTGTAGCAGAAAAGCAGAATTGGTGTCCATGACAGCATGAAAGTGGGAAAGGTCACCCAAGGTGCAGAAACTCAACTCAATCCTACAGAGAAGAGACCTTGACTCCAAACTTCCCCTTCAATGAAAACCATTGCCTAACACTAGGAGAACGTGAAGGAGAGGGGCTGATTCATAATTATCTTGGAATTGTTAATGTGAGTGAGATTCATCTTGTATATTTTGGGGAATTACATTTATTGGGAGAAACAATAAATGGGGGCAGTAAATAGGAATTTAATGTATGGTTATAAAACTTGAAAAGGAGGGTTTATGGATTGTAATTGTAAGGGAAGTGGATGTGGCTTAGCAGCTTTATTCCTTTAGAATTACATAATTTGGATTACAGTATTGTTTTATCTGATGCCCATATTAAAAATGTCAGAGCATTTTGTCTTAAAAAATAGAATAAGGGGTAAGTGACTTTTAGACAAAGTTAGCATTTACTAAAATATATGCTATAGAATATTGGCACTGTGGTATGATATTTAGCTTTCTGTGAAAAATGTTTTAAAATAGTTAGGAATAGATTTAATTAAAGGGGTGAAAGATCTATACATTAAAAACTAAAACACACTGATGAAAGAAATTAAAGAAGGCACAAATAAATGAAAACATATCCTGTGCTCCTGGATTAGAAGAACTAATGTTGTTAAAGTGGCCCTACTTCCCAAAGCAATGAGTGCAATCTCTATTAAAATACCAATGGCATTTTTCACAGAAATTGAAAAAACAATCCTAAAATTCTTCTGGAACCACACAAGGCCACAAATAACCAAACCAATCCTAAGAAAGAAAACCAAAGTTGGAGACATCATACTTCCTGATTTAAAATTATACTACAGTGCTATAGTCATCAAAACAGTATGGTACAGGCATAAAAACAGATACACAGACCAATGGAATAAAATAGAGATCCCAGAAATAAATCTGAACATACATAGTGAACTAATTTTTGACAAGGGTACCAAGAAATCACAGTTAAGAAAGCATTATCTCTTTGGTAAATGATGCTGGCTTTTCCACATGCAAAAGAATAAAATTGGACCCTTATCTGACACTACCTACAAAAGATAACTCAATATGGATAGAAGTTCTAAACATAAGACCTGAAACCATAGAACTCCTAGAAGAGAAGATACGGGAAAAACTCTTTTATACCGGTATTGGCAATGATTTTTTGGATATCAGATCAAAAGCTCAGGTTACAAAAGCAAAAATAAATAAATGGGACTATATCACACTAAAACACTTCTGCACAGTGAAGAAAACAATCAGCAAAATGAAATGGCAGCCTATGAATTGAGAAAAAATATTTGCAGAAACCATGTATTTGACAAGGGCTTAGTATCTAAAATTCATAAGAAGCTTATAACTCAATAGTAGAAAAACAACCTGATTTAAAAAAAAGAAGCATAAAAGAGCTGAATAAACATGTCTCCAAAGAAGTCATAAAAATTGCCAATAGGCATATGGAAAGATGCTCAACATCAGTAATCATCAGGGAAATGCAAATCAAGACCACTATTGAGATCTCATCTCACACCGGTTAGGATACCATGATTAAAAAGCTAAGTCATAACAAATGTTAACAAGGGTGTGAAGAAAAGGGAACTCTTGCCTACTGTTGGTGGGAATGAAGATTTGTACAACCATTATGGAAAACACTATGGAGGTTCCTAAAGAAACTAAAGAAATTAAAAATAGAACTAACATAGAACCCAACAATCCCACTTATGGGTATATATCCGAAGGGAATAAAATACCATTCTCAGGTTCATTGCAGCATTATTCACAATAGCTGAGACACAAAAACAAACGAAGTGTCCTCTGAAACTCAGTCTTTTCATCTTTAGATAATAATATGTAAATAACAATTTTTAAATGATCTTTCCAAAATGATAACACATCCTTTAAAATGAGTGCCAAATGCAGTCATATATAAATATTAATAGTGCTTTGAAAAAATTGCAAAGCACTTGCAAGTCATGTTTATTATGTTCTCTCTAATGTTGCAAGGATATGTAATATACTTAAAATAGTATCCATACCATTTTTAAAAATGTAATTTAATTGAATGCTAAAACAGGGCATTTATGATGTGCTCCTACCAGTGTTGAGCCCCCCCCCCAACACTGTGGCTCAGGTGTTAGCATTTTGTCTTCCCCCAACATGGTTTGTCTTGGCAATCTTGGTGTTCTTCTGGCAGATCTGATGGGGGCCCTTTCCCACGATGGGCCCTCCTCAGTGTTGGGGGCCCGGTCTGTGCTGGAGCACTGTTGGGACCCTCGTATTAAAGGCAGTGGAGGGTTCTGTGTAATGAAGAGAGCGTGTTGAGTCTACTGAGAAATGCCCCAGACCCTAAGAGGGCAAGCAGACCACGTCTGGTGACAGTCTCTTTAGATGGGAAGTTCGGAGTCTTCATCCTGGCCAGCGTTTCTCAGCCTGGGTCTGCAGACCCACAGGCCCTCATGCGGGCCTCTGGTAGGCTCAGATTTTTAAAGGCTGAATGGCGTCTGTTTTGATTTAAGGAAATGTGTTATTTCTAATGACTTTTTAACCAAAAAATATAAGCACATTCTCCTTGACTCTGTTCTTTTCTTAGATAAGCGAATTTCCTAAATGACAAACAAGTAGAAAAATTCATTTAATTTCAGATAGTAGTAAAAGTTCTATGAAGAAAATAAAGTGGAGCTATTTCTCTAATAATGAAAAAAATGGATGTGTAAAGGAAGTAACCTCTGACAGGCAATAAATACATTGAAGTGGAAAAAATATTTTTTAAAAAACATGGTGGGAAAAATTTATCAATATGTGGAAATAGAATCATATACTCTTAAATAAGTCAAGGAATAAATGAGTCAAGGAATAAATCACAAGAAATACTAGAAAATACTTTGAGACAAATGAATATGGAAACATAACACACCAAAATTTATGGGATGCAGAGAAAACAATGCTAAGAGGGAAATTTATGGGTATTAACAACTATATTTTAAAAGAAGAAAGATCTCAGATCAAAATCCTAGCCTTTCAACTTAAGAAACTAGGAAAAGAAGAGCAAACTGAACCGAAAGCAAGCAGAAGGAAAGAAGTTATAAGGATTAGGGAAGAAAGAAAGAAAGGAAATACAGAATTGAAAGAAAATAGAGAAAACAATAAAGACAAAAGTGGGTTCTTTGAAAATATCAATGAAATTGACAAACTTTTAGTTATACTGACAAAGAAAGAAAGAGAGAGGATGCAAATGACCAAAATCATGAATGAAGGAGGATTCATTACCACCATCCTCACAGAAACAAGGAGGGTTATAAGGTAATGCTATGAACAACTGAATGCCAACAAACTAAATAACCTAGTCCTAGACAAATGGGCAAAGTTCTAAGAAATCACTAACTAACAAATTGAGGTAAGAATAAATAGCAAATCTGATAGATCTATAACAAGTAAAGAGATTAAGTGAGTACTACTACTACTACTAATTTTCTGCAAAGAAAATCCAACATCTGGTGGCTTCACAGATAAATTCTACCAAATAGTTAAACAATCACCACCAATCCTGACAAATTCTTTCAAAAAACTAGTAGGAAGGGACACCTCTCCCAATTTATTCTATGAGGCCAGTATTACCCTGATACCAAAACCAAAGACATGACATGAAGAGAAAATTGCAAACCTATATCTCTTATAAATACACATACAAAAATCCTGAGCAAAATAATACAAATCAAATCTAACACTATATAAGAAGGATTATACACCACAACTAAGTTGGATTTATCCCAGAAATGCAAGTTGGCTCAACATACCAAAATCAATGTCATATGCCATATTTAATACACCAAAGTATAAAAATCACATGATCATCTCAATATACGGAGAAAAGGCATTTGAAAAAATCCAATACCCTTGAGATAAAAACACTAAACAAACTAATAATAGAAAAGAATTTTTTAATCCTGACAAAGGACTTCTATTAAAAACCCAAAACTAACATCGTACTTAATGGTGAAAGACTGACAGCTTTCCCATATAATTCAAAGCAAAAAAAGGATGTTCCTTCTCACCACTTCTATTCAGCATTGTAGTGGATGTTCTGGCAATTTAGGCAATAAAGTAAAATAAAATACATCCAAATTGGAAAGGAACAAGCAAAACCATCTCTATTTGCAGATGATGTAATCTTGTATATAGGAAATCCTAAGGAATACACACACACACACACACACATCCACGCACATAAAATTTAGAACCAATAAATGTGTTCAAAAAAGTGGTAGGATACAATATCAATATATGAAAATAAATTGTACTTCTATGCAGTTGCAATGAAAAATCAGAAATTGAAATTAAGAAATTATTTTATTTCTAAAAAATCCATTTAAAAAGAATAAAATATTAGGAATAAATTGAACAAAACAAATGCAAGTCTTGTTAACTGAAAACTATAAACATCATCAAAAGAAATTAAAGAAGACTTAGATAAATAGAGAAGCACACTATGTTCATGAATTGGAAGACTTAAGATTGTTAAAATGGCAATACTCCTCAAATTGATGTACAGATTCAATACAATCTCTATTACAAGCTAGCTGGCTTTTTGCAGAAGTTGGAAAATTGATTGTAAAATTAATATTGAAATTCAAGTGACCCAGAGTAGCCAAGACTAGAAGAAAAAATTGGAGAACTCACATTTCTGCTTAATAAATAGCTATAGTAATCCAGGGTATGTGATTCTGACATAATGAGAGACATATAGATAGATGGAGTAGATTTGAGAGTCCAGAAAAAAACATACATTTATGATCAATTGATTTTCATTGAGGGTGCCAAGATGATTCAAATGGGGAAAGAAAAGTCTTTCTGACAAATAGTGCCAGGAGCATGGCTATCTCCGTGCAGCTGGGTGTTTGCCTCACACATACCCAAGCAAAGACCTAACTGCAAGAGCTAAAGCTATAAAACTCTTAGAAGAATATATTGGTGTAAATTTTGTGACCTTGAATTGGACAATGATTTCTTGGGCTTAATCCCTAATGCACAAGTGACAAAAGAAAATATAGATAAATGGTAGAAATTTCAAAATTAGAGATTTTTATGCATCAAAAGATATCATCAGGGAAATAAAAAGAAAATTTATAGAATGGGAGAAAATATTTGCAAATTGTCTATCTTATAAAGGTCTAGTCTCCGATATATAAAAAACTTTTAAAATTCAACAATAAAAAGACAAATAGCTGAGTTTTTAAAAAGTGGGCTAAGGATTTCAATAGACGTTTCTCTAAAAAAGATAGTCAAATGGCTAACAAGCACTTGAAAAATATTCAACATCATTAGTCACTAAGGAAATGTAAATCAAAACTACAATGAGATGCCACTTAACATCCCCTGGCATGAATATAATGAAAAAGACAGACAACAACAAGTATTGGCTAGAATATGAGCATATTGAAACTCTCATACATTGCTGGTGGGAATGTATTTTAATATAGTATAGCTGCTTTGGAAATCAGTTCCTCAAATTGTTAAACACAGCTGATATGATTTAGCAACTTCATTTCAAGTTATATATTTAAGAGAAATGACAAACATGGACATACAAAAACTTGTACACAAATGTTCATCAAGGAATACATACATTAATCAAATATATTCATACAGAGAAATATTGTTCAGTCATGAAAAAGGATGAACTACAGATACAGGCTACAGCATGGATGAACTTGAGAACTAAGTGAAAGAAGCCAGATACAAAAGCTCACATATTATATGATTCCATTTATATGAAATGAACAGAATAGACAAAAATATGAAGACCGAAAGTAGGTCAGTGGTTACAAGAGGCTGGGGAAAGGGTGACTGGAGAGTGATTGGTAATGGATTCGGGGTTTGCTTTTGGGGAGATGAAAATATTCCGGAATGAGATAAGGGTGATGGTTGCACAATCTTGTGAATATACTAAAAACCACTAAATTGTACACTTTAAAAAGGTGACAAGTATAGGATGTGAATTATACATATTTAAAAGATGGTGGCAAAATGAATCATTACTCACCTTCACTTTTAACCGTTATGAATGAAGAAACTGTTGACATCAGAGATGAATTTGATAATCCACTGCTGGTTGCTCCTAGTTTGATAAGATAGATGACATTAGTATTAATTACAATCTCATCTCACCTGTTAAGGACTAAATAAAAGTAAGTCAAATCTGGAGGTGGGCTGCAACCCCTCTGCAGAGGTGCTGGGTAAGACTTTGTTTTTCTTTAATTTTTCCACTTTCCAGCTTCTTTTCTCCAAAGAGGAATATAAGTATTGAATGCCTGAATGGCTTGATTTTAAAAAACAAAGGAAAAAACAACACCTGTTTTAGTATAACAGGCCTCAAAAGCAAATTTACACTGCAGATTGATACCTGGTATCTTTAAACATGCACAAAAAAGTATTGCAAAAACTCTAAACTCTAATGATTTAAAGTCATTTTATTTTTCCCTGTGGGAAAAATGACTTGGTCATTAGGATCTAGGAGTATCATGCCTCTTTTTTATTTTTATTTTTTTCAAAATTACATTTCATTTTGTTGATTTAGTTATGGCATTGAAACTTTCAAACAAACAAACAAAGGGTCATAAAGAAACTTGAAAACTTCTATAATTAATTTGTTCATTCATGAAACAGTCTTTAAGTTCTCAGGCCCCATCCCAGACTCTTGAGGGCAATATCCAACTCTTAATCGTCTTTTTAATGAGTAGTATCAAGAATAATTCCTGGAATACTGTAAGCAGTTAGTAAGTGTTTCAAATAAGGGGTTACTCACACAGGAAATAAGGATCAACACAGGGAAAAAAGTCTGCCTTAAGTAGTCAACATCACTCTTCAGTTTGATAGCTACTCTCTATAAAAGCATTCCTGTTTTTCTTAAAACACTTTAGAATGCCCTTTCATGATTAGGACACAGGTCCCATATTTACTATGTGACATATATAAAATCTTGGATCTCATAAGCAAGCATACTGTATTTGGGGAGGAACTATTGGCATTGCAAAATTAATCTAATGCTTTAAAACTCTAGTCCAGAGGAGAGTTTTAAAGGGTAAGTTTTTTTGAGGGAGGTGAATTCTTACTCTGTCACTCAGGCTGGTACACAACTTGGAGTTTTCAAAGTACTTGACCATTTTTTTTATTTCAAAATATTAAGGAGGTACAAATGTTTTTGATATATGGCTTGAGCCTTGATCATTTTCTTTCTTTCTTTTTTTTTTTTTTTGAGACAGAATCTCACTCTGTTTCCTGGGCTAGAGTGCCGTGGTGTCGGCCTTGCTCACAGCAACCTCAAACTCCTGGGCTCAAGTGATCCTCCTGCTTCAGCCTCCCCAGTAGCTGGGACTATAGGCATGCACCACCGTGCCTGGCTAATTTTTTCTGTATATTTTTAGTTTTCCAGCTAATTTCTTTCTATTTGTAGTAGAGATGGGGTCTTGTTCTTGCTCTGGTTGGTCTCGAACTACTGACCTTGAGTGATCCTCCCACCTCGACCTCCCAGAGTGCTAGGATTGCAGGCGTGAGCCACCATGTCCCACCGACCATTTTCTTTTATATCAATTCTGATTTCATGTTTGATAAAAGGAAGAGATATAATACAATTGAGCTTAGGACTCAGTATTCAGCCAGAATTTTTCAGCCAGTCTTTGCAAAACTGAAGAAGTAAATGGTTATACATTTTTAGTGTTCCTAAACTTTTATGTGAATTGTGATCTTATAATTGTTAATGATCAGTATATATAATCATTGTAATAATATCTATAACATAAATGGGACATGTTATTTTTATTTTTTGTTTATTTTATTTTGTTTTTTATCCAGCTTTAGTGAGGTACAGTTGACAATTAAAATTGTATATATTTAATACATTGCCACACTAGAAAAAAAATTGTCCCTAGTGCCATGGTGTTTTATTAAAACAAAATGATTCTTTCTAATTTGTTGTTTTCTGTGCATGAGCTATATGCAATGCAATCCATGCTTTTAAATTGTCGATATTGATTGTAACAATAAGAACATTAACAAGATTTTCAGAACCCAATGGTGGGGTTTTACTTCACGCAGCCCCAGGCTCAAAACTAGCCTGAGTTAAATACAACTCACATGGCAGTCAATGTGTTTAAGTGTACAAGGTGGTGTTTTGATGGACACATACTTTGTGAAATTATCACCACAATAAAGCTAATTAACATATCCATCACCTCACAGAGTTAGCAATTTTATCTTGAGAACAAAGACACTATTTTAGATTGTTAATATATGAATATTCACTTTCAAATATGAGTAAGCTTTCTACATAAAACTTATAGTGAAATTTTCTTTATGTGTTAGATATGTTGAAATTCTGAAGTATAAGTGCATATTTATTATTGCAAGAGTAAAAAGTTTCAGTAACTAATGATAACTGATTTATGTAAATTTTATGTGCAAAACCAATGATTATATACTTTTAAGTAATTATAGAAATAGAGTGAAGTTAATATATTAAGATAATGTTACAGCTATTTATCTATAAGGATATTATATCATTTTGAGCCAACAAATATTTATAAAAGATTAAATAATCATTAGAATATCATAATTCTACTCTCTTTAAAGTTGTTTAGTAAACTAGCCTTCATGCAATTTTCCAAAATAACCTTTTAGAACTGTGTTAAATTCTATTTAGGCCACAAGTGTTCCACAAAAATGTCTAATTTGTAAACATTTCATATTTTATTAGGATAAACTGAAAGCAAAATATCAACTTTACTACTATGTCCCAGGTATTTCATTTCCGATTCAAACTTAACAAGGAAGAGAAAGACAATGGATAAAAGGAGAAAGGTTACGGAGGAAAATGAGGGACTCAAACACTTTTTTTTCCTGACTAATCACACAAGAAAATTTCCAAGAATGCTTTTAAAATATCTATATGTTATCGTTTTATCTGGTTAGTTTCTACATAGAGGATGTGCAACTTAAACATCACTGTATCTCAAACGCTATTAGAGACAGATGGCCAAAAACATCTGGCTCCTCTGTTGATCTCAGGTGAAACTAAATGTCTATTTAGTACTAGAAATGTTTAGTATCAGAACTGAGAAATTTTTATTTCTGTATTATAATTCAACTCATTAAAAAATTGACTATTAAATGCTTTTAAAATCAAGCTGAATAATAATCACATTTTTAAAATAAAATTTTAGGTTCACTTTTGTATACTAGAAATTCATTTTATATTTGATAATGGCCAAATGTGGATTTTTAACTCTGGCCATTTGGCCTTTGCACAAAATGTGCAGTGCATTTGTTGTCTGTCTAGGAAAAGATCAAGTCCCATCTCTCTAATTGGGTAAACCTCTGAACATGAGCCCTGCTCCTGGCAAAGTTTCATCAATTACTTCTGCCACTTTGGTGGCTATCTTGCTGCAAGAAGAATTCTCATCTCAGTTGCACATTTTCCACTTTTCTGATGATAGAATTTCTGCCATTGGCAAGAGAAAGAAAATTCATGTGATTTAGCTGGACATAAGCACTTTCAAACCAACCGTTTTTGACCTATAAACAAAGAAAATCCGATTGGGAAGCCTTAAAATGAAAATAAAGAAGCTTCACCATGTCATATTTGTTTCAGTAAATACTTTCTTTGTGGCCAAGAGAAACATGTTAGCCATGAGGAAGAGGGATAGCAAACTCCTTCCCTATAGACATTTTTTAATTTTTTTGGTATTATTGTGTAACTTAAAAATGGTTATTCCAGTATATGGAACAATGTCTAAAACTCCCCCAAATTTAAACCCCTCAGACCTGAATATAGGAAGTAAAATACACTGATAATCCTGCTTAGAACTCGAGACAAACTTTCCATTGTCTTCATTACTGAGTATCAATTGTATCTCCTTTAGGAGAGTGGGCAATATCCAGTATACATAGTCCAACCACCTACACCCTTAGTACACTTATGGTGATCAAGTCATCAGGAAATACAAAGGCTTATTGCCTCCGCTTAGCCCGGACACCATGCTGGACTTTCTGTTTCTCAAACTGGATGCAAGCAGTGTAACAGTCTCCTGCCTGCCAGATGCATCTCCCGCCCACCGCAGCCTCGGCAGGTCTCTTTGGAGCCCCAAGAATGGACTTCCTTCCTTCCCTCACTTCCCTTCCCACTGACAGATCCATGGTTACTAGATTTTTAACCCTGAAAAGGCATCTAGATAAATAATACATGATGCTAGGTATTCTTGATTTGGAGGGTTTTATAATGGCATTGTAGCTTTGCAATAAATTGTCTATATTTTTTGATAGGCATGTTGAACATGTAGAGATAAAACGGCATGAAGTCTGGATTCCCTTCAAAATACTTTGACAGCCAAACAAAAAGAGAGAGAGAAGAGAAAAAGAAAGAAATTAGGAAGGAGAAAGAAAAAGAAAAATGTAACAAATGTGGTAAGATGTAGATAAATATTGGTTTAGAGAAATGGATATATGGAGATTAATTACAGTATTCTCCACTTTGGGGTACATTTGAACATTTTTATAATAACAATTAATAAAAAGTAAACCTCTCTTGGCCTATTACAGTTTTTACAATTGAATGTGAATAATTTAAAACTCATCTGGAGAACTTCTGAAGAGTACAGATCAGAGTTTAATTTCTATTAATTGAGCAATATAAACCAGTGAAATGCCCAGAACCAGAATATGTGTGTGTGTGTGTGTGTGTGTGTGTGTGTGTGTGTGCGTGTGCATATAAGCTCAAGCATTCTATTTACTTGCTTCAGAGAAGGGTGCTTCAGTGTCCTACCACAAGAGCCACTGGTAGTAAGGTTGCTAGAAGTGGTTTGGTTTCATCTTAGAATCAAACACTGCAGAAATAAGGGGAAATGATCAGATACCCTTTATCTCTGAGAATCATTGCCCCATTCAAGCCCTCACCGGTCCTCTGCATGTGTTTGAGTTTGGTCTTAGAATGAAAATTAAGGAAATAATAGAGAGGTGAGAAAGATAGCAGTAGGAAGTTCAGTCACCTATTCATCAGGGTGTATGATTTTCTGGTCTTTCTATGAACTTAGCATTCTAACCAGAGTTTCTGCTCAGAGGTGATCAACCAACAATTCTGTTTTTCTCCTCCATCGATTACTGTGCCTGAATAATAGCCTCATTTTGTGTTTGTTGCAGAATGGGCAATGCAGTATGGATTGCACAGGCAACGACCTCTCAGATTTCTCACAGAAAGATTCTAATGGCTTTTTAAATTTTTATGGATAGTAATCCTTTTTAATATCTAGCCAGAAAACGTAACACGGTTGTTGTCACTCAATCCAGTAACAATAATGATGGCATCGCTACTGAAACCTATGAATTAAATCTATCGTCGGCACAATTCAACCAACAAAATCAGTCTGTCATTAATACTGTTTCACCTTGTCGGCTGTGCTGCTTAGGTGGAGAACTGCGATATTTAGAAAGACAGTTTTATGACTTGGAACATGGTGATTTTTTTATTCTCTAAAAATAAACTTTGTTTATGGAACAGTCACAATAGCATCATTCTCCAACAGGAAATGATCAAGAAGAATATCATTAGAGAAGCCCGCTGAGATCTCGGGGTTTTGCGTGCAACCCAAAATAACACATGAATTTCAAAATAGTGAATAGTATCGACCTTTATAATAACCACATATAAGATTCCAAATTATTTTCCTGTATTAAATTATGTAAACACTACTAATTTTGTTTGCTAAAATTAAACCATATTCTACTATGGGTTAATGTTACCTTTAGGCGATGTTGATGTGGTAACAGTATTTGGTGATGGTACTGTGCTTAGCATTGTTGCAGATGCTATTGTTGAAGAAACCACTGATGGTAACATAGGAGGAGTAGCTCTAACATCTGAAAAAAAGCAAATTATGTTGAAATAATTGCATTAACATTTACATTTATTTTCCCAGTCAATAGACTGGTATATATAAACAAAGCATTCTGTCTACCTACCTACCTGTCTACCTACCTGCCTAACCAGCTATCTTTCTAGCTATAGTTCTGCTAACGCAGTCAGTAGAGCATAGATTTGGAACTCATTCTCCATTTGTCATGAATTCATCCAGAGCCCTGTATTCTTTCACTGATTCCACCTGCTTCCCATCAACGTCATGAATTTTCAAGATGGCTGGCAAAAGCATTTTATAGTTCCAAAACTATATAATTTCTGAGAAAATGAATGAGAAATTAATGTGTAAATTTGAAATTTAATAATATTTTTAAGTCAACTAAACTAACTTTGTCAGATGAAATAATTAAATCAGTATTCTCTGGGCAGTGGATGTTTTACTAAATATTTTTATAGCACATTAAAGTTATAAAGTAGTAAAATGTCAATATTAGTATATATCTTCTTAACATAAGGCACTCTCTATATGTATACTATATATAAAGTATGAAATATAAAAATATTACACATATAGATATAAGTTCCAAAGAAAGAAAATAAACTTTAAGAAATTCAACAATTGCAGCACATTTAAATTTTTGTCAATGGAGCTAACATAAATCCACATTATCGAGTTGTTTATGTTCTCTAAATTGTAACAGTATTTGGGCAACCAAAGGCACACAAATAAAGATAATATATTGTGATCCATATTATATATTTCTCTTTAATAAGAATTTTTAAAACTTCCATTTAAATATATTAGGGAATAGGTCTTCTTTAATAGTCAAAGTTGGCGAAATCATCACTTCATTGTTATTTTTCAAAGTGAAGTATGTAGAACTTAACTCTTGGTGTTTTATGAAAATATTTACTTCACATACAATTATTGTAATGTATTAGCATTTATATATTCTTTTTAATCCTGTATTTTGTTGGTCTCATCTCTGGACACTCACTGTTATGTTAAGAATAAAAATACAGAAAGCATCTACCAAAGATCTGGAGAAAGGATTCACATCTATGGAAAGCATTGCTTTTTCTGTTGTTACTTGGTCAGTATAGAGTATATATAGTATAGAATGTTAGTTAAGAGGATGGACTTTGAAAAACAAAGACGTATGTGCAAATCCCAGTTAACTTCGTATGTCATTATAGTAAATGTATGTCATTAGTGTGACTTCTCAGATTTAAATTACACTCAAAATTTTCCTCTTGAATCTGAGAAAAACCAATAATCTGGCATGTCAGTGAAATGCAATATCTCACATGTCATGAAATAGAGTATATTTGCTGTTTAATTTTATAGCCTTGAGGTGTTTGGAAGGGTTCGTCCTTAGCATTGACTTTGTTAATAGTGCACAGAAATTGATTGATGTATTCAGGATGTGCAGGTGTCTGGCACACACCAAAATGACAGAAGCACATTTTCACAGGCTTTATGGAAATCAGGTCAGAAGCTTTTTTCACTTCTGGAGGCAGAGTTCACACCCTTGGTTTTACCCCTCCCCCACCCCCAACATTCAGCAGGGAACAGGCACAGAGCCTGTAGAAGGTTATCTTTTTTCTACTAGTCTTTTTGTTTTAACTTTCTTTTGGTTCTAGATTCTATGATGTAACACTAATTTCTAATCATGAAGGTGAAGAAATTATTCAAAGTATATCACTTAGACTTGAAAAATTTACCTGTAAATAGCTTGAATGATCCTCATCTGTTGACTTCCTAAACAATAACAGTGACTATTTAATAACAGTCACAAATTCTGAGCATAATCAACATCTCCAAGAGATATTTTCCTCCCTCCCTCCCTCCCTCCTTCCTTCCTTCCTTCCTTCCTTCCTTCCTTCCTTCCTTCCTTCCTTCCTTCCTTCCTTCCTTCCTTCCTTCCTTCCTTCCTTCCCTCCTCAACATTTGTGGAGCAACTACGTATATGAAAATCATGATTAGATACAGAAAGACTCTATGATGTACCACATGACATCACCCTCGAGTAACTTTGTATCTGGCAGGGAACATGCACTATAAATATGCACAATAAACAAAAAGGATATTCTGTACGGGTTGTATGAACCCATGTTTTTCAAACTGCAGGTTGTGATACATTTAAAGGTCAATTAAATCTCTTTAGTAGACTGCAGTCAGAGCTTTTACCAATTATAAAAGAAAAGAGACAATATTAGAGTGGTATTGCAAATAACAGGGTAAGTTTTGTTTTATGAAGCTTTGGTATGGGGGTGTGTGCACACGTATAAGTCTGCATGAAATGTGCGCCAATGCAAAATATATTTCTTATTGTGATTCCAGTTAAAAATTTGAAAGCTGCTGGGCAAACAATGAATTGAACAAGAGTTTATATGATAAAAGACAACCACCTTGCTGGCATGAGCAAGGAATATTTCAGGAGAGAGTTGACATAGGAAGTAGAGAGTAAGCAGCGTCGAAAGGGCGTGAGAAAAAGCTCTGGATTGGGGAAATGAGAAGTATCAGAGGGCTGAAAACAGCTCTATTTAGATGGATTGCAATGAGCTATGAAAGGACACAGTAGATGTTGTCTGGAAAAATACTGGAGGCCATATTGTAGATGGCCATGAACACCAAGCCCTGGACTTTGGATTTTATTGAATTCACTGGAAAGTCATTCAAAGTGATCAAATAGGACTTCCGCTGCAGGAAAAGCAATGAGAAATTGGTGAGGCAGGGAATGAGAAGACGACAGTTGGACAGGGCTGCAAAAGCTGCCATTTTCATATTAATGTCCTCTGCCCTCTTGAAGTCGTCCTGTGATATTAGTGAGTTCACGTCTATGAAATGAGCGGACACAAACTACAAGTAGGCAGATTTCTATCCCTAGTGTGGCAAGACTGATACGGCTGTGAGGCTTTCCCTCTGTGCTGAACTTAAACATATTTGACCACTGATTTCTCCTGAGTAAAACTTCAATCCATTAGTACTCAATAATATCTCCATTATTAGTTCTTTGGGATGTTTAATGAACAGCGTGTTCTCTTTTGGCAAGGGCTGACAGTTCCTAAGAGTATTGAGTGTACCAAGTGCCAGGTTCAATGTAATCGCTTTCTGTGGGTTATCTAATTTAATCTCGACAAAGACACTAAGAGGCCTGTACTCTTGATGATCACCAATTTATGGATGGAAACACTGACGCTCACAAAGGATAAATAGCTTGCCCACATTATACACAGTAAGTGGTATAGTTGTAATTTTAACTCAGACAGCCTCGACTGCAGAGAATATGTTCTTAACCATCACACATCTGGCCCCAAGAAGGTGGTGCTATGCAAAGCTACACTCCCCGCTGCACCTGCCCTGCACCTGTGGCAAGGTATGCCATAAAGGGAGGAAGCGACAGACACACAAATGTTTCACCCTTATGTGCCTATAATGAGGAAATAGACAAAATAGCTCACTTTTTTCCTTAAAAAATAACAAACATTTAATGTGTCACATATACATACAGGTTTATGTATACACACACACATAAATGTTTTCATATTAGACCTAAAGCTTTCAAGGAAATTTCTCATTGACTAGAACAATTTAGATTTGAAAAATAAACATAGAGTTTTGTTCAGATTGAAAACTTCTGCAACTGGTAACTTTCTCTTATGATGTGGTGGAAAAGAATTATTCCCTCTGACGACCATGGTGGGAGGTTCTATTGACCATGGTGCAGGTAACCTCCAGATATGCTTTTACTGGATTAGCTGTAGATTCCTTCCAGGTTTGATTTGATTTCCTAATAAACTATTGAGAGAAATGCCTTATACTGAAGTATTTTCTCTTCCCAGGACATGATGAGATACTATTTTTTCTTCTCTGTATGTCCAAAGTGATTAAAGATATATTTAACAAGGCAACCTGAGCCTCATGACTCTGTTTGTGCCAAATCAAATAGTGCTTGGGATGATGTAAGAGAAACAGACGGCATTTGTCCCTATCTTCCATCCCTGTGCATGAGGACTCAGAGAGCTCAAGGTGCTGTGATTTACCAGTTTCCTGTACTATGAAAGGTTGAAGCATTATCTGAATATTAATAAAATAACTACTCTGATTATAAAAATTCTATGATGGATTTGTGCTAAAGTATTTCCATAGATCCTGAAATAGTTCTGCATTCTCTGAAGTTTAAAATAGAAAATCCCCAACTGTTCACATATAATACCATACAGGAGCATTCATGTGAACTTGCTTTTCTTGTCTTTGAGAATTTAGCTCATGGCTGAAAACCAAATATATTTTCTCCTGTTTTCAAATGATCAAGTTATCTACTCTTTGCAATTATAAAACATGTTTAAAAATATCACACATACTTTGTAATTACATTTTTAGGTAACTCACAAATAGTTAAGTGTACAATGAATATAGATCTACCTCTTAAGTTTGCATATAATGGCAATGCATAAATTGGCTTCTTACAAATGGTGGCAGGATCCCTTTTCATAGTAATTTGTCAGTATTTGCTAGCATTATAATTTTTATTGTTCAACTGATAAATATGATATACTTACTTTGTTAGTAATTGACCACTAGTGCAGTCTAAGTTAAAAATTTCAATTTCTCTCACATATTAAACAGAAATTTAAAAATATGTTTATATTTAAATATATATTTATGTATACATATAATAAAATATATAGAATGAATAAATGCAAATAAAATAGGGTACTAATTTCCAAATTCTCATCAAAACAATCTTCATTAAAGATATGGCACCAACTTTTTTTGCTTTTCAATTTCATAATAACACATTTTTGCACTAATGTTGATCCTTCTCTTTTGATAGAGAAGAGATCACTTTGGTTCACTGCCAAACAAATCAAAGACAGCTATTTTTTTTTAATTAAAAGAAAAACATTATTATGAGGTGATGCTGCCTTCATTATTTCTTCTATTTGCATTGATCCAAAATTTTATAATATCCTATAGGAAATGTATAAGTAACTC